GAATAGTAAGAGGTTGGATATCATGCTTATTCTGTAGGTGCAAATTGCTAGGGCCACATTTGAGTGAAAGGGCAGGTGAAGTGGCAAGTTAAAGCAAAGAGACACACAGGGCCACATGGAACTCCATTCTGCAGGGCAGGTGATGGGGTGGCGTGGGAAGCTATCACACAATGTTGAGCAGGGTAGAGAGAGGTCGAGTTGGAGTTAAAAAAATCACCTCCATGGTTGTGTGAGGCTGAGGCTGGGGATGGGGTGGGGGGCAGTGTCCAATGGTTCAACGAGAAATTGGCCCAACAGATGACAAAGAGGAGCCACTTTAGGGGACATTTGAGAGAAAGAGCTGCAGAATGTGCTAAGCCATGTGCTGTGGTGTTGAGGAAAGAGTTTAGAATGGCTCCCAAATCGCCCCTTTGGGGGGCCAGGTCCACAGAAGGAGACCCATTAACAAACTGGCGTGCACACCTATGGCAGGGTGATGGGCTTTGCTTGGACGGAGGGTGTGGACATGCAAAGTGATTGCAGCCCAGATGCCAGCTGAGGTCAGTCTGACTCTTAAAATTCAGATAAGATTTTAAGAATTCCAGTCTGAATGGAATTTTTTGACCTGTGGAAAGTCTCGTCCTCTCCACTCTGTCCCCTGGATTTTCTGTGAGTTTTCAGGTTTAGATTCTTTTGGTCACTTCTGGTTCTGAAGAAACCAATTCTATTTATGGTCACCCTCATCATACAGATGCATGCTCTGTTCATCAGCATGTTGGTCCAGATGCCCCTCTTTGTTGGGGGGAACCCAGTTGCTCACTCAAGGCTTCGTGAACATGGCAGACATTATACAAGATGTAGGGAGTTGGAGAGGGTTACATCAGAGAAGTGCAAACAGCCTGATTCTCTCTCAGATCTTCTCATTTTAAAAAGTCCTCTGGGGCACCGCAAGGACAGCCATTTCACACCGCAGGACCTTCCCACCCAGCATCTCATTCTCTCACCATCTTGTTGATTATATCTGCTGCCAGTGCTACGTTCCCAGCCCCGAGATATTTCAGGAAGTTACACATCCTTCTTATTCTCTAGTGCAGCAAGCGGTGCCTCTAACCCTGCCTGAGCTCAGCTCTAGGCCCATCTTTTCATTTCTGAAACTCATCAGATTCCTAGTTGACTAAAAGAGCATTTTGAGATGAACATCATCCACTTTGCTTAGAGGGTAATTAGAGTTTTAAATATTATTTTTCAACGTTAGATGCTTTTTAGAGATGATAAAAAATGCAAAATATTATTTTCCTTCAATTACTGTTTTCCACCTCTGCCCCTAGCGCCTCTGGTGTTACCTCCTTTGGTAGCTGGAAACCCAAGGTGAAGAGCTGGGCACCTACTGGGCCCTTTGTCTATGAGGGTAGGGCTGGCCCTTTGTGGCTCCTGCTTTCCCACCCCCTGTCCATACCTCTTCTGTTTGAAGGCTGTTCAGTGCTGTTGTCTAGTTTCTCCTCAGAAGGCCATGACCCTGGCAGAAATGTGGCAGAAACTGGGAAGGGTTGATGGCATAAGAGGGCATTTCTTCTTCCCAGAGAGCCTTGTTCATAATGTTCATCCTAGACCAACCTGGAAGACAGCCTTGCCCTGATCCCCAGCACCTAGTTGGTCATTGACACCAGAATCATTTCTTACAACTCTGCTAAGCAGACATGTCTTTGTATTGTCCCAGTTCATCTCAGGACACAGAAGGGCCATGGGTACTGAAATGGGAAGGTCCTGACAACAGTGTCACCAGGGACCTATTAGGAACCCCTCAAGGGGAGCTGGAGTGCTGTGTGTGGGGGAAGTCTTCCAGTACGCTCCAGGCCATGTCTTGCTGTCTGTCTATCCATCCAGGAGACAAGCTTTGCTGTTGTCTAAACTGCCGCTGGCATTAGGCATTTGGAGAGGAGAAATTGGTCCCCATCACAATCAGTGAAGTGTAAAAAGTCTAACAGAGCAATCGGTGTGAAATGCAACAAGAGTGCCACCTACGGATGTGGAGGAGGCAGTGCTGGGGTCTCTGGTTAGAACAGCAGTGGCGGAGGAGAGCACGTTCCATGAGAAGACGTTTCCCAAGCAGCTTTCCAAGGCTGGGGTACTGGTGGACAAGAAACACGTCTGGACCTGGAGGCTGCGGAAACCAGCACAGACTTGAGCCCTGGGAGCTCCGACTCACCCGAGACCAGTGGGGCACGCTAGCAGCAATGATGGAATTTGGGTTTCCTGAAGTACACTTGGCAGCAGAGCAGATGAAGTCCTGGGTCAAGGGAACAGCTAGTAAGGGCGCTGGACTCTGCGTCCAGCCCTACCTGTATTGCAAGTTCATGGAGGGCAGGCCTATGTCTGTTGTATTCATCACTATTCCGAGCCCAGACCCTCATACTCCATGAGATATCTTAGTGTTGTGGACTGAATGTTTCTATCTCCCCAAATTTATATGTAGAAATCCTAATCCCCAGTGTGATAATATATGATGGTGGGACCTTTGGGAGGTGATCAGGTTACAAGGGTGAGACCTTCATGAAATGGGATCAGTGCCCTTGTAACAGAGAGCTCCCCACTTTGCCATGTGAGGACAGTGAGAAGACACTATGAGTCTATGAACCAGGAAGCAGGCCCTCACCAGACGCCAGCAGGTCTGCTGGTACCTCAACTTGTACTTCCCAGACTCCAGGATTGTGAGAAATAGATGACTGCTGTTTAAGACCACAGTCTCGGTATTTCTACACAGCCCGAGCTACAGCATGGAGGCAAACACAGCCAGGAGAGGCAGCCTGGGAAAGGCGGACCTTATAAATACCTGCTCCATGTAGCACACACCCATGAAAGGTGGGCTGGGGGCAGGAAGGCCCAGGCCTAGCATGCCAACAGAGGAGCTGCTGCCCAGGTTGCTGCCACAGCAGGGTCTTGGTGGATAGGTCATTCAGCAGCGGCTGCACTTTTCTGCTGGGCTCACTTGGCTCTGACAGGAGTCACCTGTGATTCCTCAGGCTGCTCAGTCCTCGCAGGGCAGCCATGAAGGGTGGGGACAGATTCATCTTCAGGCTAGTGAAAAACTTCTGCCTGCTGCCTCTTGGCTCACTGGCCATACCTCCATGGTGCCCCCTAGAACTCTGGCCTTTATAGTCGTGAGGGAAACCGTAAAATCAGTTTGTGGTGGGAAACAGGGGACCCCAAAGTTGTTTTCTTAAGGAAAATAACTCTTTGACCAGACAGACTTTGATTGCATTAAAAAAGTGTATTGGATTTCCAATACTAAATAATAACATGAAACCTGTTTTTTAAAAAGCCATAGAGTTTACAGCATCAACTACAATAAAGGCCAAACAAATGTGTACAACGAGTAGCCCAGCAGCCCTCCAGGCCCCCAGCAGGCAACAAGGCGGCAGACACATTTGTCCCAGATCCCCCCGAAAGGAAGCTGCCGCAGCCGCGCACCTAGGACATTACAAAACACATGATGTTTTCGTTTCAAAAATCACAGGAAATGTAAGAAAATGTATTAAATTGTGAAAAGGTGCAATACAGAATAGTTTTCCTTTTTCTTAATTTTAAAAAGTCCCAAATTTGAGCAGTTAATTTATTTAAAAATAAGTCCCCCAACCCGCCCCAGCTCTGTGGCAGTATCCAGGTACCAAGGCCCTGAGGTAACTGAGGTGTCAGAATTCATGGGACAAAATGCCCTGAACACCGAGCATTTCTCTGGGCAAAGGTGAGACAGCTCCTGGGAAATCGGCCCGTCTGGTGCCCAGAGTGCTCGGAGTGCTCTTTCCAGAGTCAGTTCAAGTGCACTGGCTTTGGAACCTTGCCTGGCATTGCCCTGTGATCAGGGCATGGCAGCAGAAGTTCCAGCATTGCACTTTTCATTGCCCCAAAATAATAAATACAAAGAGTTCATCGTCTAGAAAAGCAAATACATGAAAAAACCTAAAAGGGGGAAAATAACCAATGTACAAAGGCAAGTGGGGTGCCTGTGGGGCGAGGTTATGCTCAGGGCCCCAGAGCAGGTGGGTTGGGTACCCACTGGAGGTCTCATCAGTTGACCTCTTCTTGGCTACAGAACCAAAGCCTGGTTGGCCTTCCATTCTGCCTTCCACTCTCTCTTCCCGGGATTTGGTGGGGAGTAGTGGTAAAGGTTTGAGGGTCTGTCCTGTATTTTTTCATAATATCTTCTTAATATTTTAAAAACTTAACACCTCAGCTCTTTACCTTTTTAGGAAAAAGAAAACAAGAACTATTTGCAAAGGTAAAGGCTTCTGTGTGTGTGGCCAGGCCACTCAGTGTACCTCAGAAACCTCCTGCCGCCCATTCTAACCCGGGGCTTAGCTGAGCTGCTGGGATGGAGGGGCAGCTGCCTCCTGTGTCCCTCTCCACTGTCCCTGTCCCCTGCTACTTAAAGAACAATATTCAGAGAGAAATGGGGAGCCTCAGGGATACTGCAGCCCTGCACGCCTCCTTCTTGCTAATGGTTTTCCTAAGGGGCTCTGCAACATGGACGTGGCTGAGGATAAGAACTGGAGAGAAGCAAGGAGTCATACACGGAAATGAAGTTCCTTCCTTAACCTCCAATCTTCCCAGTAGGAACTGATGACAACAGCAGGAAAAGGGCTCCACCCTGTTCTCACATCCCAGGAACGAGCAGGCTGTTGCCTTGTTCTGTATCACTCCTGCAAGGGGACACATAGTGCCTGACTGCTCAACCTGGACACTCTTAGGCTCTGACCAAGACATCAGGGCACCTAAATCCTCGAACCCACCTATTGCACAGGAGAATTTTTAAACTAGGTCCACATGAAACTGCAGTTGCAACATAGTGACAATAGAGATGGACATGCCAGGAAAGGACAATAACGTGGATGCTTCCGTTCTCCGCAGGCTTCTGAAAGAAAGTACAATGACTGAAACACTCACAGGACCTCAGCAGCCCCTCCACTTCCTATTCCCAACCCTCCCCACCTACCCCCACCCCAATACTGAAACTGCACAGAAGCAACAAGCAAGTCCTTTCAATGTTACATATCATTCAAATAGATCTATAATCTCACAGTGATGAGAGGAGAAAGTCAGGCCTTTAATAATTATAATTAAAAAAATAATAAAAAAGCTTACAAACAGCAATGCAACATTTCTTCCCCCCCTCAAAGTGATGGGTTAACAGTTGGTAAAGGATGTAATGACTCAGAATTAAAAAATAAAAAGAAAAACAAAAAACAAGCCAACCCCTGGAACCCACACTGTTGATGACTTTCCATACACAATTCAGACAAGTAGTCGAATGTCAACCACTTGTGGAGAACACCATGGACTTCCTTGGTTTTGATAGTGTTCTTCTTCCGAAGGTAAAATAGGACGCAAATACAACTGTACATAAATGCCAATGTCCACACCCCGTATAGGCGAAGTCACAGCACAAAGACACAGCCTGACCATGAAGTGAAATGTAGGTGGCATTTCTTGCCTCTGCCCTAGACACAAAACTTTGGCCCATGGTGCCCAGTCCTGCAGGGTGTAGCAGGTAAAAGGTAGCTGCCTCGACATGGGCGTCTTCGGGCTGACCAGGAGAAGGCACGTGGCCATGGGTGGAGGCAGCCCCCCACGGGGGCGCGGGCTGGTCTGCGTGCTCACTCTGTGATCTCAAGTGCTGTCCTCTCGTCCTCTGTACAAGTCCTATTTCCAAAGCTAAGTCCCAAGACTTCTAGACTCAGTTCCAGAGTCACGTCCTGCTGAAGGACGTCATGCTGTCGTGATGGCATTTAGGTCCTTCATTAGTCCTTCCAGGTGGGCCATCTCTTTGGTCAGCTCATCTGGTTCATAGCTCTATGGAAAAGAGAACCCTGTTACTGGGTGTGACCTGAGGAGCCATCCAGAAGGAGGGCCCAGAGAGAGAGTTCAAGAGCCTGTGTCAAAGTGCCCTGAAAGACTGGACAACTGACACCCCGGCTGGTCCAGAGGAGTCAGAGATTGCAGAAGGTGCCAAGGCTGTTAAGCTCCAAGCCAGCAATCACTGATTTTCTTCACACTGCAGAATACCCCTCCCCCAACACACTCTGTCCAGTCACAAGCTGCTCAGCTTGTCTAGGTCTCTGTCACAATCAATACAGTTGGCATGTCCCATAATCTCTGGGCCCCAAGCTTTCCTCTTTAAGAGTCCTACACTTGGAAATGCAGAGGCAGACATATTGATTGGAATGTGAGAGGGAAAAGTCAAGGAGAGATCTTGTTGATTTCTGGTTTGAGAGCATCCACTCAAGCACCTTTCCCTCCAGCACCCTGCTCAGAAAAGGTCATGAGTGGGACTGAAGGGGGAAAGAACATGGGGATGATTCAAACCAAGAAAAGAAGACCAGAGATACAGGGCAGACTAAAAGGAAGGTGGGGTGGGTGGAGGAGAAAAAAATCCCTCGGGCTGACGAGACCAGGTAAACACAAATACATCAGAGTAGGAGGGAAAGCAGATGGAAGCCTCGGCACACTCCTCCTGGCTCAGAGGAGATGCTCTGTCAAGCATGTCTGCAGAGTGAATGAGTGAACCTGCTTCACACTCTGGGCCAGCAAGTATCAGTGTGACCAGCACACTCTCAGATCCTGGGACATGCCCCTAAACATCCTGGCTGGGCTCATGGCCCTGTGAACTTACACTTTCAGAGTCTTCCAGCATCCTTGTGGTCTCCTGCACTTCAGGGGCACTGGGAACCACCACGGGCATAGGAGGCCTGCTCCTTCCTAAAGTCCCAATGGAGGCCGTCTTCACCGAGTGAAGGTGATGGTTCAGAGCTGAGGGGAAAGGGCACCGTCAGGTGTGCGGTTAAACTTGCTCCCACCCAGACCCAGCGCAGCAATTCTGCTCAGAAGGCACTGGAACAAGGCGGAAGGAAGAGAAAGCAGGGCATCCAAGAAGCCAGAGGAAATATTCCATTTGGCTTTAGAAAACTAACCTCCTATTCTAGTGGGCCTCAAATGTAGTGGTCCAAGGACCCCTTGAAGGATGTCTGGTAGATCAAACTTGTTTCATAATAATACTAAGGTATATTTGTCTTTCCACGGATGCTACAAAAACAACGGTGGGTAAAACCGCTGGAGCCTGAGAAGAAATGAAGGCAGTGGCACCAAACTGCAGAGTCACTCACTGATATGCAGTTTAAAAAGCAGTCAGTTCAGCCTAAGATCATCCTAAATGAAATAGTAAAAAGTCTGGACCTTGATTACACATCTTAAAAATATTCTATGTGGCAAAGGAAAGTGTGCACAGGACTGCAATGGAACACTGACATACACAGGGGCAGCCACAGCTGAGGGTGCACTGCCACTGGTACCCGGAGCTCCACTGTCACTTCAAGGAAGACTGACCAGCCAGGCACCTGGACTGGAGCATTTGGCAGACACTTTCTAAAAAGTGAATGAAGTGAGCCAGTCACCTCAAGGAAAACAATGGACAGGATTTATTGCCAATGATAAAACTTAAGTTTCAACAGAGTTTTTAAAACCTTGCATTTATCTTCCACCATGAGTTTGTTTTCTGGTTAATCTTCAACCAAGAATATTTTTTCCATTGATTTTTAGAGAGAATGGAAGGGAAGGAGGGAGGGAAGGAGAGGGAGAGAGAGAGACAGAGAGAAATAGCGATGCAAGAGAGACATATCAATTGGTTGCCTCCCTGCCCCATGACCCAACTGGGGCTGGGGATCGAACCTGCAACCCAGGTACGTGCCCTTGACTGGGACTCGAACCTGAGCCCCTTTTGTGCATGGGCCAAGATGCTAACCACTGAGCCATACAAGCCAGGGCTGCCACCATGAGTTTGGGAGCTTTCCAATACTTACAGACTTTGGTGATATTAATAAATGTATTTTTAGACATTATATAATAAAATGTATTAAGATTTGGAGGATCTGTAGAAGTCAGTAAACCATTTTCCAAATGATTAATGTATGTATTCAATATAATGCACACAGCCCTGGCCAGTTTGGCTCAGCAGATAGAGTACCGGCCCCGGACCAGAGTGTTGTGGGTTTAATTCCCAATTAAAGGCATGTACTGGGTTGCAGGTTCGATCCCTGTCCCCAGTTGTTGTGTGGGAGGCAGCCAATGTGACTTTCTCACATTGATGTTTCTCTTTCCCTCCCTCTCTTTCCACTGTCTAAAAAAGTCAATGGAAAAACATCAGGTGAGGATTAACAAACAAAAAAAATCATGCAAAGTACAAGATAGATGGATTTGAATAGAATAGAGGTGGTTTCTGATTCCACATCACCGAGAAAACTACAGGAAGCTACAACTTGCTATATTTTGCTGTGGTGTCAAACAGAATATCCAGTTATCTGAAAAAGTTATAAAAATACTCTTCCCTTTTCCAAGCACATATTTGTGAGGTCAGATTTTCTTCTTATACTTCAAAGAGAACAATATATTGCAACAGACTGAATGCGGAAACAGGTTGGAGAATAAAGCTGTCTTCTATTAAGACAGACATTAAAAGAGATTTGCAAAAATATAACACAATGTCACTCTTCTCACTATATTTTTGTTTTGAAAAAGGTATTTTTCATTAAAATATGCTATTTATCTTAATACGATAGATGTATTGCTATTATTATTTTTTAATCCTCACCCAAGGATATGTTTTATTGATTTTATTTTATTTTATTTTTTATCCTCACCCGAGGATATTTTTTCCATTTTTTGTACAGATAGAGTGGGAGGGAGAGAGAGGAAAGGAGAGAGAGAGAGAGAAACATCAACGTGAAGGGACACATCGAGTGGCTGCCACCCGCACGACCAACCAGGGCCGGGGACAAACTGCATACGTGCCCTTAGCGGGAACCGAACCCGGGTCTCTCCGGACCGCAGGCCGAGGCTCTAACCGCTGAGCCAAACTGGCCAGGGCTGTTTTATTGATTTTAGAGAGAGGATGGGACAGAGGAGAGAAGAGGAGAGGAGAGAAAGAGAAGAGAAAGAGAGAGAGAAAGAGAGAGAAATAGAGGGAGAGAGAGAGAAACATCGGTCAGTAGCTTCTTGTATGTGCTCCGATCGGAGATCGAACCTGCAACCTTTTAGTTTATGGGATGACGCTCCAACCAATTGAACCAGACGGTTAGGGCAGATGCATTGCTATTTTTAAATGAATAAAATAGTTTTAAATTTTCTGTTTTAATTTCTAATACAGTAAATATTGAGGAAAAGCTCTTCTGTGGCCTTGACATCTTTTAAGGGTATAAAGGGGTCCTAACACCAAAAAACTTGAAAACCACTGACTTATTCTGAAACAAGCCACCATAATAGAAATAATGTGAAAGAGGTCAGGGGACTCTGGTTAAGCTGTGTGAACTCAGGGAATTCATTTCCTAAGGTCCCTGCCTTGGCCTCCCTGCCCCTCCTCTGATTGTAGGGACCCTGGAGGGAGGCGATTCTGGGAGGCGGAGATGAGATCCTCTGCCACCGGATGTGACCGCCAAGGATCCTGCGCCCAAAACAATCTACAAAGTCGGCTCTCACTCCCTAGCCAATTAGTCTCTGGTCTGGTTCCTGTGCATTCCCACAGGACGGAGCTCACATCCTCCCTGAGAGGGGCAATGACACCCTGTTGCTCAAAATTCCTGGGAGAAGCTAAGAGGGCATTGGCTTTGTTATTCTTTAAAGAGGAGATGACTTTTGCCATAAGCCAGAGCCAAAGGGTCCCTTCAGTGCTGATGTCCTCACTCACCTTGCTGGGATAGTAATGGTGTGCTTGGCAGTGCGGCATCATAGGCAGGAGGACCCGGGGGCGGGATGGCCGGCACAGCAAAGCTCTTCAATGGGTGGGAAGGGCGAACGTGGGCGGTAGGAAGACTCTGGCCTGAATCTTCCTCTTGGGAGCTGGCCAAGTAAGAGGAGCTGGTAGCACCTTCAGGATCCTGGTGATCAGTACAGCATGTCTGAGACGAGGAGGCTGGCATGGTGTCAGTGCTGGGAGTATTTCGAACGGATTCTATGGTAGGAAAGTCTAGACGTTAGCATTTTACAAACCATTAAATACATGCACATCCCAGAGTTCCGACTGTTTCTAAGGGCTCCTGAAAGCAGCTCAATAAACACTGAGGTCCATGGATTAGCACCCCTGCCAAGGCTAAGTAAGAATGGACTAACTTCAAAGAGTCCAAACACTTTTGTCAACCAGTTGCTGGAATTTTTTCACCTACACAGCTAAGTGGTCATAATTTTACAGATTTAAAGTTCTACTTGGTATTACTATGGAGCACATATAAAGGTTCACGACACTACTGTCTATTAAGATGGCTGGCCTTTCATAGATAACATGTCTAGTCACCAAGGCTGGGTACCTGACAAGTACTAGCTCTGCCCGGAGGCCTGGTGGTTACTGAAGGAGAGGCAATGCAGGGGCCCTTGCCTGTCCTTTGGGGACTGTGCACAGCCTCACCAGAACAACAGCTCAAGTGAAACACGGACAACCAAATAGTCCAGAGGTCTACAAATAGCTTTAAGATTATGCCATATGAAGGGTTTTAAGGCCAGAGAAAGAAATAAGGTTAGGTCAGCCTGGAGTAGGGGAAGACTCAGGAAGAACATGATAACAATCTCAAAATATGTAAAAAAGGGTCAGAGTTGTTCTGGAAGGCAGCATGGTGAGGTAGAAAAAGCATGGCTTTGGATCAAATAGACCTGAATTCTAATCTTGGCATACTAGCTGGGTGAACTTGGCAGTCACTGAATCTGAGTTTCAGTTTCTTCACCTATAAAACAGAAAGAATAACACATGATTCACTGGGGATTAATTGAGAAGACTTATGAAAAGTGCTGAACATGAGGCTTGAAGAAGGTTCTTTGTAAATTACTGAGTGCTTACTCTGAGTTACGGACTATGCGAAGTGCTTTCCACTTGTTAGCTCATTCAATCCTCAGAGTAACTCAAAAAGCTGACTTGGGGAGGTTGGGCCTTGCCCTAGGACAGAATGAGAACAGGTAGAGCAGGAATCTGAACCCCTGGCTGGATTCCCAAGCCCATGCTCTGAACTACCACACACTATACATACTGCTCTTCCACGCCCAATGCCACTGTCCTCTGACCCTGCAGGGGTGGCAGTAGCACTGAGGTCAGGCAGACCATCTGAGAACAATGGGAGCTGGTGCAAACCACCATGTGTATCCCAAGGAGGGGCCTGGAGGTCACCAACTTTGGACAAGAGGCTGCACCAGGCAGCCTGAAGGAGGGCCTCCCCTGACTCCTACAGTCCTCACCCTTAAAAAAGCAAACAACCCTTTTAAGTAGCAATGCATGAGCAACCTGCAGAAATCCAACCTATTTCCCTGCCATTGTTGCTGAGGTAGCAATGAATCTGTTCCCTTGGGCTCTCAGGAGACAGGCCATACCAGTCATGAGTACGACCCCTTAGTTTAAAAGCCTTAGATCCCACCCTTCTCAAGTGCTGGAAGCCTGGCTGTGACAGCCCTACCAGGCCTAAGGGTGGCTGAGATTTTCACTTGTTACGCTTGCTTCAACCAGCCACCACCATAGCTGGGAGCTACTGATCTGCTCTGTGTGACCTGGGCTTGGAGAGAGCTGGTGAGGGTGGGAGCAGGGACTAGGAGAGAGAAAGCAGGCTTTAGCTGAGACCATGTCCGCCTGTACTGGCAAATACGTTAGGTAGCCTGGGCACACAGGCAACTGCCTTAATTTGATAAGCTCCCGAAGGCCAGAGAGATGGTGGGAAGTATGAAAAGGTAACAGGATTCCCTACATGAGTCAGTGCTGTTCCTTGCTGTACAGTTCCAGGGGCACCAGGTACATATACTGTATTCTCCGTAAAGGGCGTACCCTGAAACTGTAATACCAATGACCCACGAGGAAAACTCTAAGTTCCTGCTGGCAAGAGGCCGACTTCCTGGCTGACTTAGTTCTCAGAGTTAAGACACACAAAATTCACAATGGCCATAGACTTGGACAAGTGGAAAGTGTTTTCCCATATCAAGTGGTGGTGTCACAGTAAATGTTCAAGGACTTCCCTGGCCAAGCTCTAGTCATGCTGAGTTCATACACAGGGCTTGTGGCAGCATGGGCTCCAGAGTTGCAGGAAAACACAGCAGTACGAGAACTACGATCACTTCTAGATACTTGCTCTACATCTTCAGTGACTCTAACACTAATTTCACCTTCACTGATCCCCTCTGACCACTGGGGAAAAAAATCCTTTAGTAACACAAATCATTATTTTTCCTCTCTTCACTTCTGCCTAAGTCCATCCAAATGGAACTTTCACCAACACTGGAACTTTCACCAACACTATGATGAGGGCTGGGTGGGGGCGGTCAGGCTTCTTGCCAACCTTCACCTCCTCCTCATTCAGGAGGAAGGCTGAGGGGGCTAATCTGATTGCGAAGAGCCTGCCATTCACTCAGGCAGATCTACAGTCCAGTGCATGAGGTTTCTCCACCTTAAAACGGAGAAACTGGGTCAGGACACAAAAGATTGCTTTCTAAGAGCAGGTTTAGAGGGCGGCTTTCTGGTTGCCGTTGTATGTGCGTCTATGCGGCAGATTCGGTTCTCCATACAGCCTCCAGGGCACTCTTTCCCTCGGGGCAGACCCCTCTCGGTTTGGGAGGAGATAATAGGAAAGCCAAATTTAACATGAGTTCAAGCAGTATTCTCCAAACCAAGAAAAGGTTTGGGAGGAGGTAACTTTGGGAGTTACTGGGCATCCCTTAATAAAGCCTTGATCTTCATTTGATGTTCTGGTATGTTTATTTATAACTGATCAAAATGTAAAGGAGAGGGGATGCTACTGGCAAGCCAAACTTCTAACATGAAGTTTTGAGGTTCTCTTAAAATGAAATTCACTTGAAATTCTCTTATTTCCCAGAACCACCAACATTTAGTTCTACTAGTAACATCTTAAGTATTAACAGATGAGTTTCGAATGACAGAAAAAGAGTATGTTATATATATATGAGTCATTACTGGATTTGTACCTTAAAACTGACAGGGTAAAAATTAATTTTCAATTAATGAGACACAATCGTTATCTATTTACTGTCCCTTCACTTTTACTATTTCCTCCATAAAACTGTTTTGATAATGCTGTTTCTTAAGGCTCCTAAACTGGGACATGTTTGTCTGGCAATGTATTTCTTTAAATGCACTGCAGATTGTTAGGCTAATTTCCTATCTTTTCATTTCAGTAATCCACTAGGCACCAACTCCATTTGGCTGCTGGCCTTGCTGCCCCGGATGCTGTTCTTACTCTGCTCCACAGAAGTATGTAAGAGCTACAATGAGCAGTACCCATGGCGGCCTCATGGGCCCTCCCAACATTAAGGTGACTGACAGGCAAAGTCAACCTCCAGTGTCTGAAAATCACCCAGAACGAGTCTCCTTTCAAATTGGAGGGTTAAAAAAAATAATTAAAAATATAACTGAATTAAGATACAAGATGTTGGAACAAGACACAATTATATAGTTAGTGTTATTGTGTTTTTACTAAAACAACTTGTACTGAGCAACTTAAAACTTTAGAATAAAAATAGGTTCAACTTTACCAAAACAAATTTGAGTCAGAAACAGAAATGTTACAATAATATATAACACTGAGAAAAACTCCAAATCCTTCTAAGTGGGCAAGTCCTTCCCCATTTTAGATTGCCAACTCTTTTGGAATGATTTCCACCTGGGGCTTAGTCCTCGTCTCTCACCTGTGGAACTGGCCCTGTCTGAAAGGGACATGGATGTGCCAATGGGCCATGGGCTGCCTGGGTGGTAGAGGTGGCTGCGAGCTGGAGAAGCGAGGCTGCTGGAGTGGAAATGATGGTGAGGGTTATCGAGGGAATGGATGGGATGGGCACTAATCACAGCTGTGAATGAACACAAGACAGAGAAATGCTTAACATGCTTGCACAGATACATACAAATCACAGTTCAAGAGCACAGTCAACCCTTCCCCCTCCCACACAGTGCAACCACTCCCTTGGTTTCCTGGTGGCAGTTGGCTGGACTTGGACAATTAGCCATGGATTTTACATTTGTTTTAAAAAAATCAATATACTCGCCTAGCTGGTGTGGCTCAGTGGCTGAGCATCAACCCATGCACCAAGAGGTCAATTCCTGGTCAGGGCACATGTCCAGGTTGCGAGCCAAATCCCCAGTGAGGGGCGTGTAGGAGGCGGCTAACTGATGTTCTCTCTCAAAAATGTTTCTATCTCTCTCTCCCTCTCCATTCTTCTCTCTCTAAAATCAATAAAAATAAATAAATAAATAAAATCAACATACTCCTGTGCATACATCTGCCCGCCTGTCTGTCTGTCTGTCTATCTACACGTAGAAAAAGAAGTCTGAGAAATATATACTAAAATGTTAACAGTGGTTATCTTGTGGGGAAGAATGATCAGGATTACGAAAAAATTTTCTTTTGGTTTATATTTCCAATTCTTCTACAATAACATGGGTTATATGAGGTATTAAAATATCTATTTGAATATGTCACATAATGTAAATCCATAAGCAATGAAATGATGGTTTAGGTTTCTATACTTTTTTCTCATGCTAAAAGTTCTTCTCCTTTGCATATATCACTAATTCATCCTGCCTTTTCTTACTTGTTGAATGAGACATGCAATGGGTATTTAGGCTGAATAAGTTGCTGTTTAATCAGTTTTCATATCTTAAAAGGAATGCAAATAGAACGACTCTTATGATCCAAACTAGCACAAAAAACATGAAACTCAGCCTATGGCACTTCCTCTTACAACTTCCAGCCTGGGAGCTCAGCCACATCCATTCACATTTTAAAATATACATGGATTTTTCCTAACTACCTCTTTCCTTTCCACACTGGCTAAGGAATTCAATTTGCTGCATTTACCTAACAAATCCAAATTCCCACACAGATACTCCATACACAACTTGCTATGAAGACAAAGAGCTTATTTAATGAGGCTTCATTATCAATCCCAGAGATGGAAACAAAACAAAACGAGAAGCCCAGTTTGTGAATAAACTTTCCTTAGGTACTCCCTAGAGTAGTTGTAGAAACAATGCTTACGATCAAGATATCCAGCTCAAAAGCCCCCAAATAGGTAAATAGGCAAAGTGACTAGGAACAAAAGGGATCTTTTGTTCCCTAAGCAGCTGCTTCACAAACTGTGATACACTTACTTAGCCTTTGGAGCCTATGAAAATGTCCTCTGTCACCAAGGATCTCCCTAAATCTTTGTGGGACCATTCAACATTACCCTAGAAGGAAATCCCAGTCAATAAAACAGATGCCTTCCTTCTCTAGCTATCTCCTGTCCTGGCCAACATGCAAACAAGCAGGTGCACGACCGACCAGTGAGACCCCGGAGTCTCACTGCCCCTCCTCAAGGCCTGGGGAACACACAGGGGCTTCTGCTCTCAGGGACCAGAGGCTTACGTGGTCCTTTGGAATAAAACACAAGTTGGAAAAGCTGGCTGAGGAAGGTTACCAAGATAGTTTGTGAGTCAGCATCTCCTCTAGGGGAAGACCAATGGTTTTCAGAAGCAGGGAGCTTCAGAATCAGTGTTTTCCAGAATTAAGGCTAGGATGAAGTAAAAAAGCCTCCTGAATTTTACCTACTTGAAAGCATTATAGATTGAGATGACTCTCACAAAAGAAAGACAAAACTGACTTTCTCTTTTTAAAGGCATTTCCAGTCTTTCCAAATGAAGTAAATAACAAATAAAGCAATGTGAAAGTGCCCCTCTAGAAGAGGTGGCCAGCATTGTCTGTTGGCTGAATAAGGACCCGACACTGCTGGGCAAGGTCTTCCTAGCAGTGCTCAGCCATTTAAACCAGAGCAGGTGGCCGGTGGGTATAGACTCCAGGGCAGTAGCCATGTGGGGAAAGGGTATCTCAAAACCTGAAGATCAAAGTACTCTGGGTTATTTAGTTTCAGATTCTTAAATTAAAGACTCTAGTCACCCGTCCAAATATTTGAGGCACAAACTAAGTAATGCAAATTTATGCATACTTCTCCACCACCATAAACAACAACAACAACAACAACAAAAGGAAAAGATATGGCACAGCATATCTTTTCTTCTTAACATATTTAAAAGTATCACATATAAGAATAAGAATAGTCAAACTTCACAAGTTTTAAAAATAAGTCAGTCAGGCAAGACCTAAAGTCTTATATAAAACAAACAAACAATAAAGCTACCATCTCCTGATAAATCAAAAGCAACTGAAATAGATGTATTTATTTTTTTGGACATTTGCATTTTTAAACCTGGGGACCCTGTTATAAGAGGGAAGCCATGGTTTTCTCCTGCACACTTTCAAGTGCAGGCCCTTCTTTTCATCATAGACCCTCAGCAAAAAGTACTTTGGCAGAAATGCCCTATTCATGAACTGGCCCTTATTCTTTCAAAGCTGATGTTTAGCATCTAGTGCTACAGGGTTTGTGCAGAGTGAATGAGTGGGAGAGACAGTGAGTGTGCAGACCTTTCCATACTCGGGGTTCCACCAATCCCCAAATACAGGGTGCCATGGTGCACCTGTGTGCATCCAGAACATCTGTGATTATATAAACCTCTTACACTGTTGACAAAAAATTCGCTGAGAGTTCTGAAATGGGACATCTTTTAAGAAATAAAAAATTCAAAAACTCATTTGGGTTAAAACTAAAAAGTGATCTTTCAGGATTTCATGTTTTCAGTATTTGAATTCAGGTATTGACAGAGTTGAGGCTTACTGGCTTTCAGTTCAGGTTAGAGCAAATACTTCAATATCAAGTAGTTTGTAAAGTGGATGCTGACAGGTGGTTTCTCATCATTCTCGGATGGTCCGTACAGGGGACCCTCCACTGAAAGCACCACTGTGCCAGCTAGTCAGAAACGCTTAGTTTTAAAATAAAATTGGTTTATCCCATTGCCTTTTAATGATACTTAACTTATTTTGAATTTCAAATATTATTAAAGGAGGTTGGGCAACTTCTATGCTTATCAAAGTGAGGCATGGAACAAATAAGGTTGGAAATATTGCTTTAAAAACTCCAACTCTGGCTCAGTTGGTTGAGCGTCATCCTGTGCACTGGTCAGGGCGTATACCTGGGTTGCAGGTTCGACCCCCAGTCGGGGCATGTACAGAAGGTAACTGATCAAGGTCTCTCACACTGATGTTTCTCTCTCTCTCTCTAAGCATGTCCTGGGTGAGAATTAAAAAAAAAAAAAAACCACTCCACACTGCTGTCAACCTTAAACTGCTCTAAAATATAAAGTCTACTAATTAAAATAAATTCCATAGGTGCCTATAAACCCTGAATGTGCTTCAGGAAGCCTAAGGAACACGGATGCCTGGGCATCCTCAGTCCCAGCCTGGACAAGCACTTCCCCATCTCCCTGCAGAGATGCTCTGTATTTACAGGGAGACTGGTTACTTCCCTACTCCTGGAAGACTGGGAAACTGGCTTTTTAGCTTCTTTTCCCTATAATTAAAGAAGCTAGTCTCAATAATATTAATCACAAAATATGGCAACCCTTTGATACTTCTTCCCTCAAGTTACCAAAGCTTTTTTGTGTCAGGATCAAATGAAGTCAAAGAGATCATTCAGAGTTGGTTCACAACATGACTGAACAGGCTGGCAGCACTAGAGAAAAGACACGCTTTTAACTTACGCTGGGGTGGCTGGGAGTCAAAGGGCATCATCATTTTGGGTCTCATTCCCCGCCTTCCAGCCAGTGTAGACATGCTGTCCTCTGATTCATGCCCTAGACATCAAATATGAATGTTGGTTACAAGCGTGTGCCCTAGGCCACTCTGAGAAGCCTCAGCAGTGAAACATATCCTAATGGGAGATTCACAAACAAGAAAATGGGGACAGGTATTTCCGCAGGAAGTGAAATAAAGAGAAAAGTGATCATTAGCACATTAGAAGAGTCCCTTTTGAGAGTCGATGCAGTTGACACAATGTTGCCTCCCATGCTTCAATGTGGTATCTGTAAGAGCCCACAGACCAAACATTCTGAACACCACAATGATAGCTGGACTCCATCTGAAGGACAAAATGAAAGGCACAGACACAGGCTAGGTTGTCTCAAATGCTTGAGTTATCAAGTTGGTGAAGCCCAACGAGAAACCTAAAAGATATAAAAGGTGTCTTATCTGGGTACAGAACCTGTCCCCTACAAGCAGCTAGCTCTCCTTCATCAGATGCTGACCAAATCCTATAACACACACCTCTTTAAATCTCACCTCGTATACAAATCACCACACTTTAAGGCAATCTGATAAAATGGCAAATGATTTAAATGAAAATAGTCTCCCAATATTTGGGGAAAAGCTGCACCTCTGTACGAATTCCGCCTTTGATGGATGTTGCTGTCCATGGAATTGTCAACTGGTGTGATATCTTGAGAGTTACGAGGAATTGGAGTATCAGTCATGACGGGGTTGGGGTCTGGAGACTTATCGATGGGTTTCAGCTCCAGTCTCTCATGATGGATCCAGAGGTCCGGAGGTTTGACATCTTTGGAGTTTCCTTTGTACTTGTGGGAGCCATTCACTGACTTACAAGCAGCCCGTTTCCTAGGCACAAAATTAAAATGATTTTTTAAGTAGCTCTTTTAAACATATATGTGAAAAGGTTTGAATGATTAAAACTGCCGTTCTGAGAGATATTTCAAAGGCAGAACTAAAAGCAAACACAGCCCTGGCCAGTTTTTCTCAGTGGTTAGAGCATCGGCCCATGGACCAGAGAGACTGGGGTTCAGTTCCCACTAAGGGCATGTACCTCAGTTGCAGTTTGTCCCTGGCCCTGGTTGGGGTCATGTGGGTGGCAACCAGTTGATGTGTCTCTCTCACATCAATGTTTCTCTCTCTCACCCCCTCTCCCTCCTGCTCTATCTGAAGAGAAATGCAAAAAAAAAAAAAAGTCCTCGGGTGAGGATTTAAAAAAATAAAACAAAATAAGAGCAAACACAAAAGAAAAACAGACGCAAGAAGTTTACTTCCAGGAAGAGTAAATGTATCTTCTCTTTGTACACATATATTTGGAGATTATGTACAAGGGCATATATGAATATTGCCTTGTAACTTTCTTTTTTAGTATCAAGAGATTAGACAGCATTTTAAAATCAAATAATCTCTAAAGCAGAAGGTTCCTCCAATCAATAGAAAAAGAACAACACTCACCAAAAATATAACAATGGAGTAAAGGTAGCATCTATGACTTATAAAGGAGGGAGAAACAATATTTTACTTTATATTTCAATTATCAAAATAAATTTATTGGGGTAACATTGGTTAATAACATTATGTAAGTTTCAGGTATACATCTTTGTAATACAGCCCTATACTCTATTATGTGCTCACCACCCAAAGTTTAGTTTCCTTCCATCACTATATATTTGACCTCTTTTACCCTCTTCTTCCTCCCCCCTCCCCCTTCCCAATCTGGTAACCATCATTATGTTGTCTCTATGAGTTTGTTTGTTTTCTTTGAACAACATTTTAGTTAATCCAAACTAGGACTAACAACTGGATGAAGTCAAGAGTGTAGATGACAGTGTCTCCTTCTCTGTGCTTTAGTTTCTCCATTAAGTCACTCACCCATTAAATAAGCACTTATTAGGGACCTACTGATGTCAGACCCGGTGCCAGACTCTATGCCCTCAGCACTTCTGGTCAAGTGAGAAAGGCAGACATTACACAATCATGTTAAAATGCTCTGAGTTTAATGAAATGCCAAGTGTTACAGTAACCTCTCAAGAGTTGGACATATAAGATGGACAGGAAAAACCAGGTGGAAGAAGTGACATTTAAGCTAAAACCCAAAGGGGATGGGGCAGAAAGTACATTCCAGGGGGTGAGATCAGCATGTCAGAGCTCTGAAGTGGAGAGCAACAGCCTGGGATGACCATGGAAGGATGTACCAAGTCCTGACTGGCAGGAGCACAGTGACCCATGGGGATGCTGGAAAGGCAGTCAGGGGTCAGAGCATAATGGGCTTTTGGAACCATGCCAAGAGTTTAAACTTCCCTCTGAGTAATGAGAAACCACTAAGTAGTTTTAAGCAGGAGTAAACAGATACATTTTGAGTTAAAAAGTTACACCCAATGTGGTGTGAAGAAGGAATTTAAGGGGTAGGGGGCAGAACAGGAGACCAGCTAGGATGTGCGGCAATAACCTCAGCCACGACTGACGGTAGCTCAGGACAGCGGGAATGGAGCAAGGAGCCAGAAATGACAAGACTTGGTGAATAAATGGATGTGAGGTGGGGCAGGAGAAGAAAAGGAATAAAGGATAATGCCAAGGTTTCTGGCTTAAGCCATTTCCTACACTGGGAATAACGGGACAGAAAAGATGATAAATTCTGTTTTGGATCTGACAAGTGCCTCTGAGACATTCAAGAGAAAATGCAAAGATGCAACTTTTGTGAAGCTGTAGGGACAAGAATTCAGATTAGAAAGGACTGAAGCATGAGTAAGCAGTGAAGAGTACAGATGAGTAAAGTGAGTATTCAAGAAGTTTTATGGTGAAGGGAAAAACAGGGATTTGTAGGCAGCTGGTGCTAAGTACCATGCAGTAGAAGGGTTAAAATTATAATTATTTCTTAACATGGAAGAAGTCTGAGCACACTTCAACGCTGAAGGGACAGATCCATTTGAGTCAGCGGTTAGCTGTGCTGGAGAGAGGGTTAACAGCTAGTACAAGGTCTTAGAAAGACAGGAGACACTAAAATCCACAGGATAAGCGAAGAATTGGCTTCAGACAAGAGGAAGGACACTTCAGAAGGTGGGGGGGGGGTATAATTATTCCCAATGTAGAAAGGTCTCTACATTGATGGTGGTACACCAAGATACTTCTCTGTTGAGAGCGAGGAATCACAGAGGAATGTACTGAGAAACAATGAGGGCTAGACTCTCCATGCTCTTTGGCTTAGATGTTCTATGAGAGCCTATAAATAGCTACAACTGAGATGGGAGGCACTTCAGGTATTAAAGAGGAAAAAAAACAGTAAGAAAAACTCACATATTTTTTAATGGTCAGTGGAACACAAAGCAGACCACTGGGAAGGAGGAGAAAGGCCCTGAGAAAACTTGATACAATTCTTTAAACAAAGGAACCCCAATCTGTAGTACTTACAGATTCAAATACAGAGTACAGAGCCTATTGTCAACCCATTTTCCTACCTCTCAAGCTGAAGACTAAGTACTTTGCTTTTTATTAGAACAAATACTTCAAAAGTTCATATGGAACCAAAAAAGACCCCAAATAGCCACAGCAATCTTGAAAAAGAAGAACAAAGTTGGAGGGATCACATTACCAGATTTCAGGTTATACTACAAAGCCACTGTAATCAAAACAGCCTGGTACTGGCACAAGAACAGGCAGATAGATCAATGGAACAGAATAGAGAACCCAGAAATGGACCCAAGACAGTATGCTCAATTAATATTTGACAAAGGTGGCAAGAGCATACAGTGGAGTAAAGACAGCCTCTTTAATAAATGGTGTTGGGAAAACTGGACAGCTACATGCAAGAAATTGAAAACTAGTCCATCAACTTACACCATACACAAGAATAAACTCAAAATAGATAAAAGACTTAAATGTGACTCATGAATCCATAAAAATCCTAGAAGAAACTGTAGGCAACAAAATTTCAGACATCATACGCAGAATTTTCACTGATACGTCACCTAAGGCAACAGAAACAAAGGAGAAAATGAACACATGGGACTACATGAAACTCAAAAGCTTCTGCACAGCAAAAGAAACAACCATCAACATGGAAAGGCAACCCACTCTATGGGAGAGCATTACTGCCAATGATATATCAGATAAAGGGTTAATTTCGAATATATATAGAGTGCTCATACAGCTCAACAAAAGGAAGACAAAGAACCCAATTAAAAAATGGGCAGAGGAACTAAATAGATCCCTCTCCAAACAGGACATACAAATGGCTAAGAGACATATGAAAAAATGCTCAGCATCACTAATCATCAGAGAGATGCAAATTAAAACAACAATGAGTTATCACCTCACACCTGTCAGAATGGCCGCCATCAACAAATCATCCAACAACAAGTGTTGGCGAGGTTGTGGAGAAAAGGGGACTCTAGTACACTGCTGGTGGGAATGTAGACTGGTGCAGCCACTATGAAAAACGATACAATGTTACCTCAAAATATTAAAAATGGAACTTCCATTTGACCCAGTGATCCCACTTCCAGGAATATACCCTACGAAGCCTGAAACACCAATCAGAATGAATATATGTACCCCCATGTTCACAGCAGCACTAATTACAATAGCTAAGATCTGGAAACAGCCCAAATGTCCATCAGTAGACAAATGGATAAAAAAGCTGTGGTACACATACACAATGGAATACTATGCAGCTGTAAGAAAGATCTCTTATCCTTTGAGACGACATGGAGAGACCTGAAGAGTATTATCCTAAGCGAAAAAAGCCAAGCAGAGAAAGACAAATATCACATGATCTCACTTATTTGTGGAATGAACATAACAGTCTGAGGAACAGGGTAGTCCCAGAGACGTGGAAGTGGGGTACTGACTGAGAATCCCCAGAAGAGAGGGTGGTGGGGGAGAGATAAACCACAGAATTTATATGCATGTATGCATGAACAATGGACATGGACAACAAAGCTGGAGACAGGGCAGGGAGGGAGGGGTAGGGGGGGTATCAGTGGGGGAAAAAGGAGAAACATCTGTAATAAAAATTAATTAATTAAATAAAAAATAAATAAAAATTCAGAATTCTAAAAAAAATATATACTTCTCATAAAAAAATATTTACTTAAAATTTTTAATTCTCCAAAGCACTGAGTTCTATCATTTTGTTTTTTAGATTCTTTTAAATAAATATCTCAAGATTTATAAAACTAGCTATAAAATTCAGTTCCTAAATATAGATGAAGCTAAACAAAAGAGTTTACAGAAAAGTTCTAGAGTAGAAAAAATGTAATCTTTGAGACTTTTAAGAGAAAGTTTTCTATAATCAAAAGTAGACAAGGAGAGCTGAAAGAATCCGTAGTCCCCATTCTCTTGGGATGTGAAGCAGTACAAGCTACAGAAAGTTATTTTATTGGAGCAAAAGCAAGATTAAGGACATACAACACATAGAAGATGACTTACAGCAGTTACAGGGTAGCTGTACTGGTCCTGTGTGTTGAAGACAAATATTAAATACATTGTGGGTGGCCTTGGGCAGACCAAGTCTGATGGATAATCACACAAACATAAATTTCTGTATTTTCTCTGGAGCAATACCTTCATCTTATAAATCTTTGAAGACACGGCAACTAAAGTCATTTTTTAAAATTACTCACATTGTGTTTTTGTTATTGGGGTAACCCAGGAATCTACTTTTGTTTCCCCTTTATTGATTTTGGATAGAAAGGAAGTGAGAGGGAGAGAGACACAGAAACATCAATGAGAGAGAACATCGACCAGCCGATTCCAGCACACCCCCCACTGGGGATTTGGCCCACAACCTGGGCATGTGCCCTGACTGGGAATTGAACCAGCGACCTCTTGGTGCATGGGTTGATGCTTAACTAATGAGCCACACCAGCCAGACAGAATCTACTTTTTTATGCTATCTCACTGCCGGATATGAATTGAATGTGAGTTAGGGTCAAGTATTCTCTCAAGTTCAGGAGTGTAGGCTGTTATTAAACACTACATTACTGAATAACTGTGCTCTCTGCTCTAGACAATTAGCCACAAGCCTCAAAATCCCAGAGCAGTTCAGGGCTAGCAGCCACCTGATCTCTCTGGGAATCTGATATGGTGATTATAAATAATCCTTTCTTACGGTGATTATAAATAATCCTTTCTTATTCATTAAGTCAGGCCCCCATCCCGGTCTCAACTTCAACTTCTACAGTTGGTTAAACTTAGATTTAGAGTAAGAGGTCTGTGGTTTTCTTCCCCCTCAGCTGGTACTTGTGTCGTGAAACAGCCCATAAGATTGTGCGAGACTCCTGTGTACCTGGCTCACTGTGTGCATATATGACAGTGCTCCAGCAGGGCTATCAGCAAGGCTGGACACTGTCTACTTTCCTCCTAATCTCGCTACTTGGCTCTGTGACTTGAGAGGTTGAATGAAATGAACTATATCTACTTGGCAATCCTGCCCTGGCATCCAGTTGGGTTTGCCCAGTAGAAGGCACAGGCAAGACACTGGAGGGTCATCGGTGTTTTTTCCCCTGCCCCTTCCTGCTGGGCTAGAGGCTGTCAGTGTTTCCATTCCCAACAGCACACATGGCTCCTGTTGAAAGCCCTCTCTTACCGCTTCAGATCTCTGAAAACAGCTCTCTCTTCTTCAAAAGAGAACTCTTACCCTTTTAGGCCTGAGGGTGACAGTCATTGTCACTACCTAAGGTGGCCATTCACTACTGCTGGCCCTAGAACATTGCTGACTAGTTTCCCATTACCCCACCTGGGACATTGTAAGAGACCCCTTCTTTAAACTCTTGTTCATCCCTTTTGAGTGTGCCACGTCTTTCCTGACAGGATCTTGACCAATAGACATTTATAAGAGGAACCAGTCTGCATTTTCTTTTTTAAAAAATCCTTACCTGAGGATGTTTCTATTTATCTTCAGACAGAGTGGGAGTGAGAGAGAGAGAGAAACATTGACGTGAGAAAGACACATCAACTGGTTGCCTCCTGCACAACCCCGACCAGGGCCAGGTACGAACCACAACTGAGGTACGCGCCCTTGGCCGGAATCAAACCTGCGACTCACTGGTCCACTGGCCGACGCTCTACCATTGAGCCAAACTGGCCAGGGCCAGTATGCATTTTCTTTAAAAATATTAACATCACTTTTCAAGTATTTTATGTTTTTACTCTGTGTGCAACTCCAAATACAGAAGTCACATAGAAACAAAAGAATAGATACCAAGAATCTATGGGCTACATTTGGGGCTCCTTACTTTTTCTGGTGAGAGGTGGTACGCCTGGTGCAAAAGACAGCTATGATCACAACCACCACGATGGTGATGACCCCAACAGAAACAATGATGACCAGTAGCATATTACTGTCCAGAGGAGAGGTAGGGCTTCCATGGGGGCTGTTACTGCCTGGAGAGAGAAAAACAGTATGTCAGTATTAGAGGGTTCTAGAAATGCATACAATCAGGCTGTAGAACCTTCATGTAGCTTCTTCTAATGCTCACCACCGAGCCTTGTGTAAAAGTGTCTCATGAACATGGCTATCTCCTCTAGATTATGAAACCCAGAGAACTGAGTTTTTGCCCTATGTACATTTCTAAGCACAGTGCGTTGTATAAAGGTGGTGTTCAAGAAAAGCTTCTGAAATTATACTGAACATTATACTTAAACAAATATAAAGAGTATGCTCCTCTGGTATCTTATGTTATACATAAATTCAATGTATAAAGCGACATTTGTAAATCATTTAGTTTTTTGACTTTCAAAACTATTTTTAAAATGTACATTCATAGAAAGCAAAAGTTTTTTTTCCAAAATATGTCTGAGATCACAAAAGCTACTTGAAAAATAAAGTCTCTGGGTTTTTTTTTGTTGTTAATCCTCACCCGAGTATACTTTTTCCATTGACATTTTTTAAAGAGTGAGTGGGAGGGAGGGAGGGAAGGAGGAAGGAAGGGAGGGAATTAGAGAGAGGAGGAAAAAGGGGAGAGGGGAGGGAGTGAGAGGGAGGGAGGGAGAGAGGGAGTGAGATGACAGAAGACCTGGGTTGTTGTTCTAGGACTTCCATAATTAATGGGCGGATCTAAGCAGATTAGTTCTTCACTGTGTCTCTTAATGTTTAAAATGGGAATGATACCTGTTTTCCCTGCAGAAAATAATTTCATTTCTGAAAGTAACTTACAAATGGTGAAGTTCTGCCCTGGCCGGTTTGGCTCAGCGGTTAGAGCGTCAGCCTGTGGTCCAGAGAGACCCGGGTTCGGTTCCCGCTAAGGTCACGTACCTCGGTTGCAGTTTGTCCCCGGCCCTGGTTTGGGTCATGTGGGTGGCAACCACTCGATGTGTCCCTTTCACGTCGATGTTTCTCTCTCTCTCTCTCTCTCCCTCCCACTCTATCTGAACAAAATATCGAAAAGTGTCCTCGGGTGAGGATAAAACAAAAACAAAAAAAAACAACAATAAATGGTGAAGTTCTGTGGAAGAGTAGGTGCCATCACTTAAGTAATAAGGCACCAGCTCTTAAAATAATTAGCAGAGTGGGAAGAATTTTTTAGAATTCCCAAACTAAAAACACTATACAGTAAGTAGTTTGGGGAGAAATTAATGATTCCAAAGCAGTTCTTTGGCTTGGGTGATGGCTAATTCCACTAGATGATTTATTTTTTGAAAACAAAATTCTAATTCTTTTCTGGAGGCATTAGTCTCATTTTAATGGATATGTGGGGAAATAATTTTATTTATAGATCCTATAATGAATGGGTTTGCAGTAATTCAACAAATATTTGCCAGATAAGTGTCTAAAGCTAACTCTATTAAATAAAAGGAAATAGGTAACATGCTACAATCACCGCACACAAGCTACACAGGCCATTTCAAGATGTCAAGCAGAACTGTGTCACCCCCACAGTAGGCAACAGGGCCACAGGAGGGGCTTTACCACTCATGGGAGGTTTGTAGTCAGATCCTAGGTCTGGCAGCCGGCTTCCTTTTCCTGCAGACCCTGAGGCTGAAGGAGAAAAAAAAGAACACATCAGTAACGACTCAACCCCCAGGTGTGACAAGTCTACTTCATAGCTAGGGAACATTTTCTATAAAAAAAATTTTCAGTCTACTTTGTTTGTGAGAAAATGAAGTAGTACATCAACAACCAGAGAAAATATAGTCTATTTGTGCAAAGCAAACTAAGGTCTAGATTTCTATGCACTGAGGCATCTGAAAGGCTGACACCCTCTATCTCCTGTGTAACTGGAATACCACTCGCTGTTCACAAGGTGGGAACATACCCCACTTCCCCAGCCCAGGATGCAGTTTCTGAAAGATGGCTCAGAGCACTGATGCAACAGTAGCTTCTCTCGGAAAAAGACCCAAGAAGACCAGTTCGACCAGCTTCTGCAGTCAAGAACTGGACTCTTCCAAGGGCCCGGCTAGGCTAATTTGGCTTAGCAGGAATTGGATTCTTTTCTCAAATTATAAAGTTGTCTTTCCCTAAGCAGGAGCAGGAAGGCGAGTGGAGATTCAAATTGGGGTCTCAGTTCCTGCTCAGTCACCTACATATACCAAGATGGAGAAACAAAGTCTTCATTCTAGTTGCTCACAAAGGACACTCTGTCCTAACCCATCATCAGGGAATATAATTGAGGCTGCTGATCTTAGGCTTGGGCCCCCTCACAAGTAGGCCTCAGAAAACACAAATATCAGTGTTTCAGAAACTCCTATTTTTGGTCTTGAATTCTGTTCTTTACATTTATAGAAAGTTGCTTGGATAAAACAAATACAAGGAGTCCTTTCCCAATAAAGCCAAGGTATCCCTCAATCCAAAGTTTGGGGCCAGAAAGCAGTATCAGACTGCTCTTGAAGAGGGCTGAAACAGTTGCAAAGGAAACGCTGCTCCTCACAGTTAAGCACAATGCCTAATGGACTGTCAGCCCTTGCGTACTGGCTCCATCGTGTACTAACAGACAGTGTGACTTTCAGTAAGTTATTTAACTATCCTTCTAGGGTCTTTGTTTCCTCATTATAAAACAGTAATAATAATGGTATTTACTTCATGAAACTATTGTGAGCATTAAATGAAAATTTAATCCTATAAAATACTTTCAATGTTCAATAAATACTAACTACTATTATTATAAGCATAATAAATCTTCCGGGAAGAATATAATCTTTCTCTTTACAGAGGCAGAAAGCACGAACTTCAGAAAACACTTATAAATGAGTAATTTGTAAAAATTAAGCTTAGCTAGAAATTCACAAACTAGATGGTTTCCATAAAACATTAGAGCTAATGTCAAGTACCTCTATAAATTATCAGACTTGGAGGAAATTAAAGAAATTAAACCCTGAAGGTTTCTGTGTGTAGTTCATTCAACAGAATAAATCTAGAGACAAATACAATGTTTTCTGTTTCCTGAAGTTCAAAACCCCAAAAGGTAATAGAAGTTCTTGGGTATCCAAAAGGGCATATTTTAGAAGTTAACTCACTGTCTGTTTTCAGTTGCCCATACTTAACACTCTAACCCCCTAATTCTGTTGCTGTCATCCCTCCCAAATGGTACACATCACACATCAAGATTTCAGCTGTTCTTTTCACTATGATTAAGTCTAGTTGGTGGAATGACCTAGCACTTGCAAAGCCCTTCATGTTTTAAGTGACCTTATTTGTCAGGTAGCCCACTTTTAAACCAAACTATCCAGAGTATCATGTTATGTAAATAATTGCCAAAGAACACACTTTGCCGATAAACTGGTTGGTTTAATTCCTATATTTCTCAACATTTTTCCTTTTAAATTTAACCTCTGAACAAGAAATTCTAAGGATTAACCAAACACCAAAAATAAATATGGGCAAAGAATTTTAAATACCAGAGGTGTGGTGCAGCTCAGAACTGCACTCTGGCTCACGAGTGAAGCCAGGAAAGAACAATGAGCAAATTTATATTCTGTGCATATACAGAATGTTTATATTTCTTGTCTCACATTTAAGTCAAAGTTTCTACCATGATTAGGGTGCCCCCTGCCCCCACATACAAAAGCACCTTTGCAGTTTTTCTAAAGTACAACAAAAGACTCACTGAATGTAAACACATTTCCAAAGCCCTGAAACTTGAAACCTCAAATTCTGACTTCGTTGCCATTAACCAAGATCCAAATACTTTGTATTTCTAGTAACTATATTCTTAAATCATGAAAGTGATAATCAAATTTATTTTTATTGTTCTTTCTTAGTATGGAAAACAGATACCAACTTTAGCTGAATTCCCAGAGATGAAGATCATAAAGCAGTTACCCTACACCACAGCAGTGAAAAGACCTTGCTGACATGTAATTTCAAGAACGGTGACACTAAGGTCCATCCATGCTTCCTAGGTTTCTATTCAGAATTATTTCTATCCTCTTTTAAAGTGAGTATATTTAAGGGAATAAATGGAAAAGGAGCTCTGAACAAAGCTTATGGTAAGAATAAACAGCACTAATTTTGTCATGGATAATCACAGTTTAGTAGGGTAAATTTGTAGTTGCTTTGTGGGAGGAGGAAAATAGGATATTCACTGAATTTGATTACAACTTTTTATTTAGAGATACTACTAAAATTCTAGATGCTACAAATTGGTATGCTTGCTCTCATCAAGGCCGAAATTGTTACAGAATTTCAGTATGTTAAAGCTAATCGGACCCACACTTAAAGCCAATCTTCTACAGTTGCAGAACTCAGTTTATTTGACTCAGTTTTTGTTGTTGTTTTTTTCCTGCCACTCTACTTTAGCTCCCAGCTTTTCAGATACCCCAAGTGCCTCAAACATGGACTCAACTCCACTTTGGCCAATAAATACATGGTTTTTAACACATGGTACTGATTTTCAATAAAAAAAAGAAACAAAAACAATAAAAAGCTAATAATAGGTCACAAAAGAGAGGAAAGGAAAGAGAGGCCATCTACTCATTTACCTTGATCATTAGGCATTTTATCAGAGGAGTCCGCTAACAGGCCAAGCACAGGGGAAGAAAAAACAAGAGCAAGGATCACAAGCTTTGAAGATGGGACAGGCAGAATTTTAAAAGAAAAACAAAAAAATCCCACAAACTTCCAAACAAATTAAGTTTTGGGGTTTTTGTTTTTTTTTTTTCTTTTTTCGTACCAACAGAAGAGAAACCCATAGTTTCCATATTTCCAGAGACTCAGTCTCTGACTAAATTTTATTCCTAAGCTCACTTGGTTCAATACTTTATCTTCACTTTCTTACCTAGAGTTTCTTTAAAGGGTCCATTTTAAAAATCCCTACAAAGGTCTAAAATAAGCCTTTCAGGTTGGGAGCCTGTGTGTGTTGAAAGAGAATCACCCATCACAATAACATGCTATTGCTCTGTACAGGAAAAGAGAATCACACCTTATCTGACTGTAAACAGCTCTACATCACTGCCTCGAACAGACTGGAGTCTGAGCTCCCATCTATATGATCTGGTCAGGCCAGTGACCTAGGGAATACCGCTCTGGTGGTCAGTAGTGAGGGATCATTCTGAGATAAATGTACACACTAGCTCATCGTAAGGACTTCTTGTGTCATTCATAATCTCCACATGCTAAAGTGATATGTGTAAGCACAGCCCCACTAAAGAGAAACATTATAAAACACTCTGTGGGGAGCCTTACCTTTAGGTGTTCTGAACTGAACAGCGTCAGACATGGGCCCCATGCCCTTTGAGTTCCGAGCCTGGATTTTGAAGTAGTATGGTGTATCAAGTGTTAGCTCTTGTATCTGGTGAGTCAACCTATTGCCCACAACAGGCTCAATAACCCAATCGTGTATCTCTGCATTCACATCTGTGCTGTAATATATGATGTAACCTGTCCAAAGCAGTTATTGGGGAAAAAAATCTTATTTCTGCTTTTTCTTTTGCAATAAGTAAGTCGATAAAGATATATGTTAGAGCACAAACAAGTACAGAACCAGCAATGGTAAAATGTATTCAAAATGCTACACTAGACATAATATAGATAAAACCACAATTTACACAGTGCCGAGCTGTGAATTATTATCTATATCAGCAGTTGAAGTAATAAAACCAATAAAAGATATCAACATGTTAATATTTAAATAATGTACCTTCAATGATCTACAATTAAAATAATACAGTTCTGAAAATCAATAATGGCCTAACATCCTGTTTTAGTTCTTACCAATGTGATTTCCTAGGAGAAAAACTCCTGGGAGATGGGCAGCAACCTTTGTCAAGTTCTCCCAGAGTTGGGGTGGAAATCACAGTGAACCGTCATTTGATAACTTCCACTAGAGGGCACTCAATCTCCAAGGTTGAGGCAGAGAGACCCACAACCACCAGCCTACCTGACCCATACAGTGATTACTGGGGCTTTAGAGACAAAGTACAATGCAATGCAGATCAAGTCATTCTTGCTTCTTTTATGAAAGAAGTAAAATCAAAAACCTAAAAAAATAGACCAGGAATTTATGGAAAGGAGTTTCTATTGAAAGCTGAAGCAGAACAATGCAAAAAAAAACTACAAAATGCTTTCAGTTTTCTTAGGCCATCCTATTCATACCAAGAAATGTCAGATGGCAAACTCCTGTTCCTCACAGCGTATACCTACATGGAGCAGAGGTTCCAAGGGGACTATTTAACAGCTAAATCCCTTTCCTCCTTAACAAGGCTGAGGAGGGCACAGCATTTGCTGTGGAAGGTTCTCCTCTAAAGTCCAAGAAAACATTCCAGGTCCTTTCAAAGGCCTAGGCTCATTCAAACTTTTAACTCTAGTTGTAAAAGCACAGGACCTAAAGTAGCAAGCAGGTCTGGAGGGGAAAAAGGAATTAAAAATCTAATGGGCCTTTTGGGCTTCAGAGTAAAAGAGCTGAATCTCTTTATTGGGAATTACACTACAGAATTAAGCAGTGTATTTTACTCTAAAGCAGGTCATCTAGTCAAAGGCAAAAAAGAATAGCTTTTTTAAGGAAAATAAATATGTCCATAAGGTGTCACTACATCTACAGTCTGTCTGTCTAGCACAACCCAAACCCATCAGACTCTCAATGTGAGTCAGAACAATTAGATGGTGACTCACTTTTATGTCACTGTGGGCAAACAGCAGCATCCACCTGCTCCACTTTTCAGGACTGTCATGACTCACAGTACCTTGTAAAATGACCAAGCTAGCCTTCAGACTCCCACTTCTCCCAACAACACAGAACTCTCCTGGAGTGCTTTTGCCTGGCAGGAACAGGGAACAGACACACATTCAAAAGCATCTTACCTGTAATTTTGCCATTGGCTTCAGAGGGAGGCTGCCAATTTACAATTATAGTCCTAGGTTTTCCCTCTTTACTCACAACTGTCACATCCTTGGGTGGAGAAGTAGGAACTACAAAATAACAATATTTTTAATAATTTCTGTCCATTTCAATTTTATTCCATTTATAAATCAAGGGCATAAGGCAAAAAAGATAGTCTCCTGACTTCAAAGAACTCACTATCTATAGCAAGCTCCAAAAAAAAAAAAAAAAAAAAAAAAAAAGAATATGCAAGATATAAGAGAGAATATCACACTTTGAAGATATAGAATTGGTATTTTGGCTGGGGTCAGGGATATATATGGTAGCTGGGCATTTTAAAAATAATTTTTCACTTAAAATTTATGATGAGGTTGGGCATGTTCAGGGTGATATGACCACAGACTTCACTTAATACATATGGCAACTTGAAGGATAGGTACCACTATCCCCGCTTGACAAATCAGGACACTGCAAATGAGGAAAGATATGTAATTTTCCCAAGATGACACTCGCCCCTAATTTGGATTATTTTGTTAGAACATTTTTAAATGTAAAATAATTTTCTCTCTCACCTACAGTTGGCTCTCCATACCAAATGTCTGAAAACCCCAAATTCCTTCAAAGAACACATGATTTTTAAATTGATGTTTATTATTTGAACTTTGCAATAAAAACATAATGTCAACTAGTTGAGCTTATTCCTCTGAAATGTAAAGCTGCTTATGTAACAGAAAAACCAATAAAATAAAAATGACTGCATTTCTTGTTTCCATGTTATGGCTGAAAACTTTTAATGTACTAGTAGGGAAATGAGCAAATTAAGAACAACATTAAATCTTCTCCTCCTAAAGTGCTAGAATCCTCCTAATATAAAACAGAAGAAAGCCTGGTGAAATGTTAACATTCTAATGAAATACATAATGTCATTTATTAGCTAATGAGTTGGAATTAAAACAAAAAGATACTCTTAAAACTGGCAAAGAAAGCAAACTCAAGGTCTATGTAATCTTTTGTGCACTATATTTCTAGCTCTCCAAATCTAAACCCTTTTCTCTGTAGAAAGAGAAACCAACTGTTCAGAAGGCAAAAAGACATTGGGGCCAAACCTTCTGGGGAGATACTAACCACCATTTTTTCATTATTAATACACAGGAAAGAAAAAATAGGAGGCTGAAATAGACAGAGACTACCAGTGGTTACACAGGTCCCCATGCTGGTAAAGTATAGGAGGTAGAAGGGCAGGACTACAAGTGAACAAAAAGCAAATAGAATCTCAAACCTGGATGGCCTGCTTTCCCCTTAATTTGCTTAGTTGTCTTTTCCCTTTCATGTTTACTTACAGACAAAAACCCTAAGGATACTCCAGTGGGAGATTTTACAAGACACTGATTGGTTTGCAAGGGAGCTGCTAGTAAAGTGCTGGGCTCCAGCAAGTATGGCACTGCAGCTGCTTGGTGAAGGACAGGTCACTTCATCTTTTCTTTCTCAAGTTTACCAGTAAAGCAGGATTAAAAAACAGCAATCTCTCACATATGTACAGTGCTTTATAACTGAGTATGTGCTTTCCTACTTGCTCCTCATTTTAATAATAACAACCTTATAAAGTGGAAAAGGCAGAGCTTATCATCCTTCTTTTATAGGTGGAAGAAACAGATTAAGAGAAGCTGAATGACTTGCTTATGATCACACTCAGTAGGTGGCTAACCTGGGATTGAACTCAAGTCTCTTAATTCCTAAAATATAGTATACTTTGTATAATATTATCCTGTTATTTGCTAATGTTCTTGTACAGTGATTAAAAAAACCATAATTCATCAGCTAAAAAAGCAAACTCCAGCTGTTGTTGCTCACTGTGTTTGGTAAATACATTGACTAACACACTCAATTCTTTCCTTGGTTAGTAAAAGCAGATGATGATAAGTATCATGATTTGGAACATGGCACAACATTAGCAGGAACTTCCACTGCCTTTAGTATCTTGCAGAGAAGAAATGCCACATGACCTAAGGTTCTGACAACACATACCTAATTCAAACGTGGTCCCATGGGCAGTCATACTCCATGTGCTTGATCTTCGACCTTTGGTTACCATCACAGAGAATTCATAGAGTGTATTTGCTTTTAAACCAGTCACTAAATAACTCAAAGTCGTTGCATTTGCATTCTGGAAACATATGATTCAAGAACTTTAGATTTAGAAAATACCAATAATTAGCTTTTCTCATCCACAGCACATGTGCCAGTACCTTGTACTTGGTGTTTGCTGGTATGTTGGTTTTCCATCGGACTGTGTAGTACCGAGAGTCTGTAATCTTCTGGTGTTTGGGCAGTGAATTGTCCGCCCATGTGATCCTTATGGTGTCATGACTCAGAATGGAAGCCTGGACTCCCACTGGTGGCATCATGGGAGTGGGGTCTGGCACTGGAGTGTATGGAGCATTAATAACAAATAAATCAACCTCAGAAATGTCTGGGTAAAAAGTAATTAAGGAGGAAAGTGGCATTTTAACATAAACAAAAACAAAAGAAAAAGGGGAATGCAGGGTAATATAATGGAATGAAAGGTGAGAAATGAAGAAAGAGAAAGAGAATCCGGAGTTAATAGATAACCACTGTTCATTTAAAATAATATTTCCATTTATGTTCTTTCAGGAAAATGTCTACAGAAACACTAATAAATTATATATTCTCTATTGTATCTGTAGATATATTAAAATTTGATAATATGTTATTATATTAACATATTCATACTTGAATTTTCTTTAAATTATTTGAAAATTCTATTTTCCAATCGAACAAAATCATGAAAAAAATTGCTTTCAAAATTAAGGGTATAATTTCCAAGCAACACAAAGCTCATAATCTGTTTTGATATTTCAGTGACTGTGGCTGAGTTTTTGGGACATGGCTTATTAATGCATATCATTGGACATGTAAGGGTCCCAGTCTCAAACCAAGACCTGAATGTCAGCCAACAGCAACCTAGCCTTGCCTTGGTATTCAGGGTATCTGATATCCAAATAGGGTTCAGTTCAGATTTGCTGATACCTGCTACACTTTTTCCAGTAGAGTCAGAGAACAACCCATTGATGAATCCCAATAAGTTATGGGAAATGCCATTGTTATGGGTCCAAGTGAGATAGTCTTTATGAACTTTAGAATTCAAAGTGCTTATCTGATAGAAAGGAAAGTCTAACAGGCAACAGACACATTCTCATCAAAACAGAGGCCAGAGCAAGCACAAAGGCACCGAGGACCATGTGCCCATGGCAGTACAGCAGGATCTGTCTGGGTTTTCCCAACTCTTTGGTCAAGTTTTCTAAGAATACATACACTGATTTATTTTAAGTTAAGGTTTTAAAATGGGTTCCCCACATGGTAATCATGATTAGCCCTTCCTATAATTCAAATCTGAAAAGAGCTGGGTCTTATTTATGAATAACTGGCAAGCTAAAGTAATAGTCTCCATTTGTGTATTTCCTACACAAAGAGGACTAAAAATAACAGAGGAACAGCATGCATTATAAACAAGGTCTTTATTCAAAGAATAGGACATATAGCACTTAGTTATAGAAAATGTATCTTCAGATGCAAAAAATCAGACTTCTTTGAGAACATTTTTTATTTGTAATAACTCTTGGAAAAAATAGCTGGGTTACCTGAGTTAGGAACATTTCCTTGTGTATTTCTAGCCAGAAGACTGTATTTTTAAGTCACATAAAAGAAAATAATTTCAAATTTGCTTTTTTTCCTATTGTAGGCTGAATTCTCTTTTTGATCTTACTTTTTTCCCCTTTATGAAATGCCAAAGCTGTTTTTAAAAAAGTTTTAAATTGTAAGCACAGAGGAGCAGAAAATGGGACTGAACAATCAAACATGTAGTAACGATGTTATTCTTGTTAAGTAAAAAGAATAATGTCAAATTTGTAATATTATATAAAGTATCCAGAGGACATAGCAGAAAATACATTCACATTTCTGGGAAATTAAAAAGAAGATTTCTTAAAATTACAAATTCTTTGATTTGTCAGTACCCATTAAAAAAGTGTACAGCTCTAATATATTACTTCAATGAACTTTCTCATTCAGACCTAATTTAGATGCTTTATATAGCTACAGAAATTTTACATTATATGTATAATCCTTTAAATATATTTTGTTTTTTTTAATTTTACTTTTTTTGGTTAATCCTTACCTGAGGATATTTTTTTCAATTGATTTTTAGAGAGAGGAAGGAGGGGGAAGGAAAAGAGAGAGAGAGAGAGAGACAGACAGACAGACAGACAAACCTTGATGTGAGAGAGACACACTGACTGGTTGCTTCCCACATGTGCCCCAACCGGGTCCGGGGATAGAACTTGCAACCCAGGTATGTGCCCTAGACCAGGAATCAAACCTGAGACCCTTCCTTGAGAAGGCCCATGCTCTATTGAGCTATACTGGCCAGGGCAGATTATTTTAAATAAATTACAAACAAAAAAAAGAATATTTGGTCTCTTTAGTAATAAAGATATCATTGTTCAGATGGCTAGTACATCTGCCTTTATACTCTTTATATAAAGCTTATGAAAAGTACATACAAAAATACTTTCCCAACCAACTCAGGTAATTAGTAAAGAAAATATTGGATTTATCAGTGGTATAGATTTATTGCTACCATCAGTAACCTATATAATTCCTCCAGATATATGAAGGGCTTTTCATTTTTTGACTCATTTTAGTTACAACTCACATAAACACAAGATGAAAAATCACAACTATGCTTTCTAGATCCAAACACATTAAAAATATGTGTTACATATCTACATAAAATTGTTTACATGGCAGGATTGTTTACATTTTCTAAAAAGTAAAGCAGGAATTAACAGAATATTCCATGTTGGAAGCCCATATTCCTTTTTGAAGTCTGAACCCTAGACTGCCATATTCTTTTCCTCCCACTGATATCTAGGGGGCGGGCCTCATGCCAACATTCTAGTTAAATTGATAGGGAAAAAGCTGAAGAACAGAGATGGACAGGATACCTTACCTGTGTGAGGTCTGGTAACAGCACTCTCATATAGGGGGATGCCTTCACCCACATTGTTAAACGCTTTCAGGGTAATCACATAGTGAGAGCTGGGATCTGAATGAAAGAAACAAGTCAAAACATTTAAAAATATTCTCACTACAGAATTTTAAAAATTCAAGGGTGACTGTGCATGATCTTAACTGCAGAGGAAATCAGGAGGGAAAATTTAAAACATTCTTATGTGAAATTATTTTGGGGTGTGAGGAGATGTGAAATGGCCTACAGGGGTATGTCCCAAGAACCCCAGTGGATGCCTGAAACCAAGCATAGAACCAAACCCTATATATACTATGGTTTTTCCTATGTGTACATACTTATGATCAAGTTTAACTTATAAATGAGGCACAGTAAGAATTAACAACAGTAACTAATAAAATAGAACAATTATAACAATGTACTGTAATAAATGCTATGTAAATGTGATCTTTCTCTCTGTTTCTGATAACCAACTTGATGGTTGAGATGGCTAATGACTAATGAGCAGGTGGCATATTCAGCATGGATATGTCCCAAGAGGGAGAGACAGAATGGGATGGATTGAGATTTCATCATACTAGTCAAAATGGTATGCAATTTAAAACTGATTATAAATTGTTTATTTCTGAAATTCTTCATTTAATATTTTCAGGCCTTGGTTGTTAGTAACTGAAACCACAGAAACTAAAACAGTGGATAAAGGAGAAACTACTGTATAGAAAAACTGTCTGGCATCAACTTCCTGGAGTTAGTACCAGGAGTGAGGTTGGCTATCCTTGAATTCTCTCTTGACCTCAACTAATTGATGGTTTAGTGATGTTATTATATAGTTGGGGCTTGGATTAGAATGAGTAAACAGGATTTTCATGTGTTGAAAGCCCATAGATAATGCTTGAAATTAAACCCCGGAGGACAGCAACTGGCTGGAATGGCCAAAGTCTCTAGAGAAGTAGGAGGAAAAACTGTTAAGTCAGTAACTGCTAAATGTCCTTAACACTCTCAGGGGAGGGGGGGATACAAATCCAGGAACTGCCAAACCTCATCTAGCCCTCACAGAGACTTCTTGATAGAATAAGATATGGATGGCCCAGGATTACAACTGGTTTCTGGTTTGGAGGTGATGCTGCAAGAAATATAAGACCAAAAGTAACACTCTCTCCAAGTGACCATATAAAATGCTGCTAGTTAGACTCTATGAAAAGAGGGGGTATTAAATAGTTGGAATAGTACTCACTTTCCTATTTGCTGAAGTAAATTAGGATGACTAATTTACTAATTCATAATATTCCTGATCCAGGCAAAATTTAGGATGGTACTTCAGAAGTCCAGGGTCAGAAATGAAAACTTGAATCCCACTGAAGTGTTGCAGGGTGGGGGCTAACCTATACCACTCATCTCTGGCAAAGTTGGGCACTTTCCCAAAGTGGTCACACTTCAAGTGGTCTACATTACTTCAAAAGCTTAACATAGCTGTGTATTTCGTGGTACACTCTTTAGATACAAATGGGTAATATATAAAGAAACCTGGTCTTCCAATGGCAGAAGGAACTGATAACAATGGACTCAACAAGACTTAGCACTTGACTGGTGAAGAAAAAGGAAAAGGTGATATTGTGGGTAACATAGGACAGAGGCAGAGCAAGCATTATACACATTTTCAAGCCCCACCTTGTTCCACCCTTCACTCTCTCCCTATGTGCTTTAACTAATTTCCTTAGTTTGGGTTAGCTCTATTCATCAAATGCAAATACATATTTCTAGTCTAGACCTTTCTTCTGATCACCAAACTTCCAGGTTAAACTGTAAGGCATCTCCACTTGGACGTCTCCAGTCTCTCTCTCTCCCCCTACTTCAGATCTGTCCCAGAGTTCCCTAATTCACAAATGGCACTTCTGTGCTCCCTGCTGCTCGTCAGAAAGCAGGGAGTTATTAAGACCTCTCTCCTCTCCTCGTCTATTATGCAAATGATCAGTCTTGATTATACCCACCTGGCCCCTCACCACTCTGCCTTGATCTCCTTGCTCCATCTCTCAGTTCACTGAGCTCTATGTGCCTCCTAATAATGGGCCTTAACACTGCAGCTGTTCCCTAGGCTGGGGACACAAGCCACCCTTCTTTACCTAAACAATGCCTGTTCATCTTAAAGGGCTCATCCCTTTAAAACTGAATTACCCTCTTGTAAATGGTGCTGCTACAAACATGGGGGTACATATATTCTTTCTGATTGGTGTTTCAGGCTTCTTAGGGTATATTCCTAGAAGTGGGATCACTGGATCAAATGAAAGTTCAATTTTTAATTTTTTGAGGTAACACCATATTGTTTTCCATAGTGGCTGCACCTGGAAACAGCCCAGGTGTCCATCAGTAGACGAATGGATAAAAAAGCTGTGGTACATATACACAATGGAGTACTACGCAGCTGTAAGAAAGAAAGATCTCTTATCCTCTGAGATGACATGAAGGGACTGGAAAGTATCATCCTAAGTGAAACAAGCCAAACAGAGAAAGACAAGTATCATATGATCTCACTTATTTGTGGAATAAAATGAACATAACAGTCTGAGGAATGGGGTAGTCCCAGAGACGTGGAAGTGGGGTACAGACGGACAATCCCCAGGAGAGGGGGTGGTGGGGGAAGAGATAAACCACAGAACTTATATGCATGTATGCATGAACAGTGGATATGGACAACAAACTGGGGACAGGGCAGGGAGGGAGGGGGAGGGGGAAACAGTGGGGGAAAAAGGAGAAACATCTGTAACAAAACTTAATTAATAAAAAAAAGTTAATTAAAAAAAAACTGTATTAGCCTCTCTAGTTACACCCCATTTCACTTTCTCATCACTCTAAACAATTTCAATTATTTCAAAAGTGTATTATTTCTAATAACTGGGATCATGTCTGGTTGATTCTCTACTCAATCTTGAGCACAGTGTCTGGGATATTGTAGGTGTTCATTAAATATTTGCTGATTGATCGAAAGGTTTGCAGGAAAAGATACTAACTTTAATTCCGATTAAGTTGTGATAGAATCTAGGCTACATCCCAGTGCACATACCCAGTAAGCAGGTGTTTATATGTATCTGAAACTCAGGAGAGAGCTCTAGTTTGTTTAATAAACGAATTCCTAAATGTGCTTCTGCATTTTGACTTTCTTCTTGGGATCAACATCTATCCGCGTTGACTACAATATAGCTCAAGCTCATTTTACTTTATGCCAAATTAAATTTTTTCGCTACTTCACATGCACACTCTCTTTTCTAATGAAGTCTGTTCACTCTCTTCAGCACATGCTGAGCTCCTCCTCATCTGGATTTCAAACACAGTTCTGACTCAGTCTTTCAAGTTCAGATTAATCTTGTTCCCTGACTGCTCTGTGCCTTACTAGCTCTCCCTTCTTCAACCATACTTCAACTCGATTCCATAGTGTCCTGGGTATTACTTTTGTTTTCCTATTAGATTGAAAGTACCTGAAGGTCAAGAGCAATGTACTGCCTAAAATACAGAGGATTTTTCCTTTCAGTAGTTTCATAAAGAAAATAGTAGGCAGAGGGTCAGCACAGAGACATCATCCTACCACCAGAGCTTGTCTTCTGCTTTCTTACAATTACATCATAAGACTTATCATATGGGAAATCCGTCCTAGGTTAGCTGTGTTGTTCTTCTTAAAAAGTAAAAGAGAAAGGCTACTTTGTTTTAGAATAAAGCATCAAACTGCTGCTTATTTTCTACCAGAAGAGAGGAAGGTAAGTCATCTATCAGACACTTAAAATTGTTCTATAAAAGATATTTATAAATAAATGACTTGAATTAAAAAGTTGCTCAGGTCCAGCTAGTGTGGCTCAGTGGTTGAGCGTTGACCCATGCACCAAGAGGTCGCTGGTTTGATTCCTGGTTAGGAACACATGCCCAGGTTGTGGGCCCAATCCCGGGGGGGGGGGGGGGAGCATGCAGGAGGTGGCCAATTGATGTTCTCTCTCTCATCAATGTTTCTCTCTCTCTCTCCCTCTCATGTCCTCTCTAAAATCAATAAGGTAAAAAAGTGTGTTTTTTTTAAAGTTGCTCAGGGCTGATTCTGAATGGAAAGGCAAGTGTTTCAAAGAAAGATCTGTATAATGATAATCCAATTCGAAAAAGTACACATCTACCAAAATCAATTCATTTTCTATTATAAAATATTACTTTTCATTTTCTAGCTTTTGTAAATCAACTTTGAGATATATTTAGCATACCTTAGTAAAATGTACCCTTTTTTTCTTTATTGATTTTTAGAGAGAGGAAGGGGGAGAGAAAGAAAAAAAGAGGGGGGGTTATCTCTCTCCCACCATCCCCTCTTCTAGAGATTGATATTTCTAGAGAGAAATATCAATGAGAGAGAACATCAACTGGCTGCCTCCTGCATACCCCTCACTGGGGATTTGGCCCACAACCTGGGCATGTGCCCCAACCAGGAATCAAATTGGCGACCTCTTGGTGCATGGGTGGACACTCAACCACTGAGCCACACCAGCCAGGTAAAATGTACCATTTTAAGTGTACAGTTTGCTGAGTTTTGACAAATATACATCTGTGTAATCACTACTACAACACAGAATATTTCCAATACACCAAATAGTTCCCTTGTGCCCCTTGCAGTCAGTTCCCACCACCTGTTTCTAGGCAACCACTGACCATTCTTTGTCACTATAGATTAATGCTGCCCATTCTGTAATTAAATATAAATGTGATAACATGTAACATAAAAATGTAAGAATCTTTTCACATGCTTACTGTCCTCTCATATATTTTCTTTGGTATACTGTCTGTCTAAATATTTTGCCTACTTTTTTTACTGGATTGTTATCTTATTAAGTTGTAAGGGTTTTTATAAATTATGGACTCAAATTCGTTATCAGATATTTGAATGGTTTTGTCTCCCAGTCAGTGGTAAACCTTTTCATTTTATTGGTATCTTTACAAAAGCAGAAGTATTAAATTTTGATGAAGTCAAATTTAGTAATTAAAATTTTATATGTGCTTTTTAGCATCCTCAGATATCCCTGTCTACCCCAAGGTCATAAAGACTTTGTCCTGTTTTC